AGGCACTAGGTGGTGCTTGAACACAGCCCTCACACACTTACACACATTTACACACACACACAGGAAAGAAGACACACACATACACCTCTTTACACTATCATCAACTCCCATTCTATTCACTCGAAGAGAACAACAAAACACCCCCCACCCCTGCCCTCACACACACACACACACCGAACACACATGCATACACACAAAGCAAAGCCGACGGACCGATACACGGCTCAACTTACAGACCTCTTCTCTTTTCATTCGATATTTATCAGCTTCCCTTTCACCCCTTCCTCTTGGCTGCTACATACACACGAACACAAACGCACACATAACCTTCTTACACATCAAGTCTCAGCTACACGTGTCCAAAGCAACAATATCTATCTAATCATCTGGCCTTTTCTCCTCTCTTTCCTTTCAGGTCTGCTCAGAAAGGGGTTGGTAGCATGCTCAGTATTTCAGGGGCAGGCGACCAGCTGCAACACAATACCTGTAAAAGGTGCACACACGCTTGAAGACGTACAGATGCACACAGGTTGTCCGTGTAAAACTGTAAATGTTTGTGTAGATACAAAGCTAATGCTCAGCCGCACAGAGTACCTAATGTGTTATCTGAGCGTTAATGTGAGCACAGAGTGGCTAGACTGTTATGTGCAGCCCTTAGAGCATCAGTGACACCAATACTTCTCTAGTAAGTGGAAAGTAGATAAATTGGAGAAGTAATATAAATGCAGGGTTTAATTGGTTTAGCAAAATTCATATTTTTGACTGTTTTTATCAAATTTTTGTCTGTTTTTTATTTATGCAAAAATCCGTGCCTATCCTCTGACAGCACTCATGGATGTCTAAAACCGTCTTTACACCTTAATTTGTTTCTGTAATGTCCAAACATTTTGTTAGAGTTATCTCTTTTTTTTCCACAGTGCCTCACACACAGATGCAAAACTGTCACTCCGCTCTGATTAGAAGGAATTTTTTGCCCTTAGTCGATATAAACAAACAAATAAACAAACAAAACAAAAATCTCCAACCTTGCATAAGTGCACGTCATGTTTTGGTCTTTTCGACTGCAATAATTGTTTGCAGGATAAATCGTGCAAATTGCAAACGTCATAATAAAAGATGAAGCCCAAGAAAGCGGTGCTCGAAACTAGGCGGGATAAGACAAACATGTCACTGTACTTCAGAAAGAAGGAAAGGTCTAATGTCCGTACACTGTTTGTGGTCGATGCCCGTAGCAACTGTGTGATTGTACTAAGAGGAGCGGCTGTTTGAGTCCCTGTGTGGCCTCTTTCTCATGCTAACCAGCCTGTGTTAAGTGGTCTGTCCGAACCAGGGGCTATATGGGGTCTACGCACGTATGCACGTATGTTCTATGTTACAAGACTGACTGTGCGCACGTTCGCACATGTTTGTGTGCGCTTCACTTCGCCGTGTCCTGTGCGCTCTCTTGTCGGTGGGTCTACAGGGCAGCTGCGTGAGCATTCCTGTTGATGTTAAGCAGCTAAACAGTACCAGCTTGCCGGGCTCTTAACCTCCCCTCTCAGAGAGAAGACCTAATGAAGTCCTGAAAGGCTTCCTGAGTCCCTCATCTGGCTTTGTTTAGGCCCTGCTTTCCCTCCCTTTGCTTGAGGAAAGCCATTAGCCCATTGAGGAGACAGTCACACAGGCCATGGAGGACAGGCCTGCGCTCTTGAAACGAGCCTCTGTAGTGGTGCTTCGAGGACCCTCGATGTGAGGAAGTGCTCATGGGGCGTCTGCAGTTACCACACTATCCCACAGTGTACTTCTCTATCACAGCATCTCTTTGTTGAAGCTCCTTGTGAGGCTTTTTTAACCAGTTAGAATCGGACTGATAATGAAATTAATGCCTCACATGTGTGTATGACCTACAAAGTTAAACATCTCCATCACTAAAACGTTTCTTTCTGCATAATATTATTGAAATCAGACCACCAAAAAGGCCTCTTTTTACATTTTCCAAGAATCTCAATGATGGACATATTCAATATGTGTTTGACTGACTAATCAAGTTGTGTGAGCTATTTTATCTGTATTATTTGGGGATTTGTTTTGTTACTTGCACAATTACCACAAGGTGAACGGGCAAGTAAACGCTACAAAGCGACACCGGTGAAGCAATGATCTGGGGAACGGGAAGAGCACACGGTCACCACTCTCACCCTCATCACACACATCACCATCATAGTAAGGTGGACGTATCTGTCTTTCTTTGTTTCTTTTTTTATTAAATCAATAAAAGGCAAAAAGATAACTCAACAACAACCTTGGATTGGACATTGGGTTGTACTAGAAATGCGTAAATAACACCTAACTCCCGCACCCAGATGGTGACTAAAATTCAGGTCAGCACAGTCACTGCACAAATTTTGTTGCATTAAGCTCTGTAGTATTCATTTTCATAATGGGTGATTTTTATTATTTTTCAACAATATGAACTATAAATTCCTGAAAAAAAAACTGTGTATTTCTTGTCAGGGTGTAGCTCTTACAGACTTTTTAAACTTTTACTTCTAAAAGGTATTTGAAGTTGTTTAAGAGCTCTTATTTTCCAGTCAGTATGGTCAAAGGTGAGTGAGTACTTGTTAAAAATTGTTGCTGTATCCACCACACAGAAACAGAACAATGGGATTGTACACATCTGCCTCTGTGAAAAGCAGGAGAGGGTTGTGAATAAGAGGGCTATGGGCAGAGATAGATGGATGGAAGAAATAAAATAAAGAAGAGAGATCATTCTGTCTTGCTGAGGAGATTTTCATCCCCTCTCCCCTCCTTCCTTCTTGCACACATGTAATAGCACTTCATTTTAATTTTATAGCTTGTGTATACTCAATAGAGGAAAATTGTTTCTACGTGGTTATTCCAGTCTATTGAGAGCAATGCAAGTGAAAAAGGAAAGGGGGGGTTACACATGGCAAATAAAAAACTGCGGCAGTTAAAATTGAATTTGTATTCACCAGGAAGTGGGTTAACCCAGTTAAAAGTCAGGGAATCCAATAGCACAGGCTGATATGTGATGTCGAGACAATCTCCTTTGGGGAGCTAAGGCGCTCAGCTTATATGCTGCCTACCCAGGCTCATAGCATGTTTTCAGGTAATAATAATACATCATATTGCTTAACGGCATATTTATGTAAGAACTCAGCAAGAGGAGGCATCTGGTGTGCCTTGGTGTTGTTCTTTGAAATCACCTCCTTCAGATATGTGCCGCTCGCTGTTGTTGTGTTTTCTCTTCCTTATCAGTTTTGCGGAGATGGAAAATTCTATTACAGAGCGTATTTGGTTTGTCACAGTCAGATGCCTCCTCTTCAGGTTGTGTTTTGTGGGGGGTGCAGGCAGTTTTTCCTAGATTCTCTTTTTTTTAACAGACAGTTTGACTGCATTTGTGCGCCTGTGTGTCTCCCCCCCACCTCCCCCATCCTCTCTGTGCTAAAGAAAGAGGCATGTTTTCATGAAAAAAAAGAAAAAGCAGAGGGTGAGGAAATGACAAATCTCTCGGTCTTTGTTATTGGAATATATTGACTGCCTTTGGTTCATTGACTTTTTATTACAGGAGGTAGCACTACTGTCAGCAAATAGGGCGAAATTTGTTTCAGCCATTTGCTTTGGAACATTTGAAGCTGATAATTTTTGTACTCCATCTACACACTGTGTGCACGGTTTTGTGTGTGTCAGCAGCAAGGATTTGTGAGTAGGTGGTGAGTTGTGTGATAGGGACGCTAAAAAAAGGAGGACAAAGAAGAAGAGCCGGAGACAGAGAGGAAGAGATGGACTGGAGGAGACTGAGACAGAAAGAGCGAGATAGACAGCCAGACAGACAGAGAGGTGGTTTTGGTCTACCAGGAACACACAGCTCTTGCCGCCAGCAGTGTGTCAGTGGTGGTCCCCTCATCCAGTCTGCTGCAGCATCTGCCAGAGAGGCACCAGACTGAGCGAGACCCAGATCCTTCCACGGCCCCATCTCAAGACCAGAGCCCCATCAACTGCCTTTTCCTCCAGGCCCTGCTGTCTTTCCCTGCTCTCCCCACCCTGACTTCACACCAAACCATGTTAGTAACCCTGAATCAGGACCCTCAGGCCTGCATGTATTCTTCCAGAACAACCTCTGCCTCAGCTCCCTCCAGCCCGTACTCTCTGCCCCAGAACCAACAGCAACCTCACAACAATTCAACACATTATATCAATCCTTGAAGACCCCCTCACATCTCAACAATCCTTGCTATTTCTGACCACTTAATGCAAAACAATAGTGATTAAAGCAGGAGGAAACTTCAAGTCTACAACTCTAAGAAACTCTTACTTTGTGTGTGAGCACTGCATTTGGAAAGACCCACCTGTAACCCCAGAATGGCTCCGATCTGGAACGGCGGCGATTTTCGCCATACACCTATTCCCACTGGATCTGTTTGTGGTTTGTGAGGTGAATTTCGTGGCGGATTATGGACAGTAGAAAACGTGAGAACTCACAAGAACCCGCGGATTCACGTGCAGTCGCATGATAACAAGTTGTCTTTAGCCATATAGGCTAACCATATGAGCAGTAGATTGTGTCCTTCCAGAGGAGGAAATCTACTTCTATACTTGTAAAATCAGCATCCTCTCATCCATGGTGTCATGGGGATGAAATGCTGTCTATAAACCTTTCACTTGTTCATCCCACCCGTTTACATGGTGTGAAATATGATCCACCAGAATCATGGAGTGTTTTATTTTGAAAAGAAGCCGGATGTCTTATTTTGTGTCTGTGCCCGATTTCCTTTCAAGCATGGGTTAATCTGTCCTGAATTTATCCGCATGCTCCCGCGTCCGGAAAAAATAGAACTTCTGCGATCAGCTGCGGAGTCCGCCAATCCTCAGCGGAACAGAAAGAACCCGGTGGAAATTGACACATTAACTTGAATGGTTACGATCAGCGGATACGGCCTTTTCATAGCCGTTCCGGATGCGGTGGAAATTGGGGGTGAGGGAGTTAAAAACAAGGTTTGATGGGTTCAACGGACAAAGATACCCTCAAATGTGACCAAACTGCCACCAGGGGTTGGGAGACTGTGGACAAACTCTATATTTCAGGTTTCAGGGACATCTTTGGTCTCTATTTAAAATTGTTCATGTGCTCTCTGGTCTCAAATCATAATCGACTCTACATCATACCTTTAATAATGTTTCTTTTTTTTCTAGGCAAGGCCCACATTGGAGAGACCTTTAACCCAAGGCCTCGACCCGGTCCTCGCCCCCTGCACCATCCTCAGCCACTCTCCCCTGCTTTTATCCCCATTCGCTTCCCATTACGCATCCGCAACCATTCTCCTCCAGCCTTATCCCCATTTAAAGCCCTTTCTCTTTCCCTGCTGGGGCTGGAGAGGGGCCGAAGCCACAGCGTCTCCCCCATCCGTTAGCCAGGAGCCAGAGATCCCAGCCAGAGATGCCATCTGATACAAGTCTATCATAATGAAGGTCCAGCATGGGGCTAAATGAGTTTCCACCTCAGCCGCGCGAGGGGCTAATGACAAAACAGCCTCCCTGTGCTCCTTGGCCTGCCGCTAGCTTTAATCAGGGCATATGGCACTTGCCTAAACTGCTTGGCTATGAGGAAGAGAGAGGAAAGGATTTGGGAAAAAGTGGAGAGGAGAGTGAGGAGAAGGTCTTAGGAGATGAGGAAAACACTAGAACGGACCGTCGCTGAAAAGAAGAAAATAAAGAGTCACGGGGTGAGTTCTGAAAGTTTCAGTGGGAGTAAAAGTGTGCGACAGTCTCACTATATTTGTTGTATTTTTACCAGTAGAGCTGACAACAAGATTTCACAACTTTCCTCTTATTAATTAGGACCTACTTTGGGTCTAATAGGCCTGTGTGGGTGCCTAATGCAGGGCGGGAATCACTAATAGCTTCCATAGATTAATATTAATTTGCAGGATTTAATGTGTCTTAAATGGCAGATGATCAACAAGGGAAAACAAAAGTGCATTAGTGCCCCAGTGGCATAAAAAGAGTGTGGAAGGGGGTGGGAGCTTAACAAATAGACTATTCCATTTTCATAGCCCACTTTGTGGCTCCCCAACTTATCCAAATTAGCTTAAAGGATTGATAATTCTTCACTAACATAAAACTGTTACTGAGCCTCTAAACTGTGACTTGCCCTTTTTTTAAGGTTTTGTCAAACACTGCATAAAGGGCTTGGTTGTGGAAATTAACTTGAAATCGCATAACAAGGCTTCCTTTTAATTTGATTAATTCTTTGTTGTTGTTTTAGATCCCCAGTGAAGACACCCATGACGTTTCGAGGTTATTTGTTCCACCGTCTAATGACAATTTTCTTGCACAATAACGCCACTTAAAGAGCCGCCTCAGAGCGAGTTTTTTTCTTTTTTTTTTGCCCAGAAATAACAGACAAGGCTAAGCCAAAGGGGGACTAATGAACACCATACTTAATTCCACTGTAAGGTGACTGAATACAACTTACCATCAGTACCAACTAAAAAAATGAGACTAAACCTGACCCCTCAATTTCTAACCTCAAAGGAAATCACAGTTAAACAAAATTTTATGATTCAGCCAAGATGTTTGGACAACTTACCCACACACTGATTCACTCCAAAAGGTGGTTTTCCATATAAACAAAGCAAGCAATTCTCTTATAACCCCCCAAAACAATAGTCTGAGAACATGTTGGTGACACAGTAAGCTGGCGTACTGTAGGATGCTTTTTTGGCAGCTTAAAAAAACAGTCAGGCTGTAGCAGGCTGCACTCAGCATGGAGAAAATGAACCTCTGAAACCCATGCTGACAGTTTTGGTCCCTACTGTTCCTGATTTTAACAACTCCATAACCGGTCTTGGCAACCAACAAGCCCCCAGTACAAATTAGCCAGCCATCAGCAGGGTGCAAAGATTGCTTTTCCATGACAGGAAAAAGATAGAGAAGACATCCTTTTATCCGAGCGAAGGCCTTCACAGACAGCTTCTTGGACTCCCCGGTAAAGCTTCCAGTTGTTTCTCCTGCTTTCCTTTTTCTTATCTCTCACGAAATGTATCTCTTCCTCAATCTCGCACTCACACAATCCTTCTGTCTCCAAACAATGTCGCCCAGGTTCCTCAGAGCAGGGTGATTGCATGCAGCTGGGGTGCATTGGGAACATTTTAATATTATGCAGAAGATTAGAGCAAACTAACTACATTATTCTCCAATTACACTCATTTCATCCAACTGATGTCTTTATATCCTTCCCTTCGCCTCGATTAGCCTAATGTGAAAATGGAAGGGGGGAATGCGCTTAGGACTGTACCGATTGTTCCTCGGCTGCCTATTATTTCTCAGTGCCATTAAAAGGGAGGCGTCTTTATAGTGACTGTAAATAAAACGATTAGGGGCAGATTCAGCCGGGTGCTGGGGAAGATTTCATTTCAGGGATCTGCTTATCAACGTTTCTTGGAAGGTTTGGAAGGATTGCGAGGGTCTGCCACATCTGAGAAGCTACCTTCCCCCACCGTCATCCCTCTATGGCTCCCTATCTGTCCCCAAAGCCGCATTACAGTAGCAAATCTCACACTTGCTTTGCATCATTGTCAGACAATAAATACATCAATTTCATTCCTACATACAGCATGCCTTTCATCGCAACACAACTTGAAATTGTTTCGTCTCACATGCGCATAAGCCCGCTCAATAACCTGCCATGCGAGCTCAATTTATTAGAAGCTACACGGGCGGCAGTTGTTGGCTAACGTTGCAGATAAGCATGTGGAATGATGATACGATGTGTCTGAACGTTGTGAAGAGAACGCTCACCTCATAAACCTCATGCTGCTCAGGAAGCTTTTTGAAATGTGGGTGTTCTACACAAAGCAAACATAGCGACGACAAACATGGCAGACAACCTGAACGCAGGGGGGGTCCTCTACTGCTATTATCTGGAGGCTTTGCTTTCTGTGTGTGCAACAAGTCTTTAAGCTTTACCAAGTCGTGAAGATACTCCCTGTGGAATTGGTCATGGCTGCACGGGCCTTTCATCGTGCACAGATGACAAGAAACATGACAAATGAACCACTGATGATTATTTATGTTTACCACAACAGATGGCTGTTAGCCAATGAGTTTGATTCTTCTCCAGTTTTCTGCCTGTCAAATGATAAAATATTTCCCTCGCCGCTGTTAGCAAGAGAATGGAAAAGAGTGGACGTATATCTTACTGATGATGAGATAGAAAGACGGTTAAATCAATCAGCTGAAACATATAATCTAATCATAGGGCGATTATAAATAAATTTGTTTTAAATCAACATCTTTGTGGGATAAACCTTGAGCTCTACTTACAGAGTACAAAGCCCAGAGCAAGGGTGACCATATTCTGAATCCCCAAAAAGAGGACATGACTACGCAGGGTCAGAGTCACGGAGTCGCACATAGTAAATTCTGAGAGTCTTTCGGGTCGATTCAAGTGTGTTTTAAGACACAAACTCAAAACTTCCATACAAAACCCGGACATGTGAAGGATTTTATAAACTCCCTCAGACAAGGCTGGACAGCCCCCCAAAAAAGAGGACATGTCCGGGTAAACGAGGATGTATGGTCATCCTACCAGAGCAGTAGCTTCTTCACATGCTAGTAGCTTTAGCAGTGCCCATTTTTCTGTGACGTTTAGTCTAAATACATTACCAAATGGTTGCGCTGTTGACAAATGCTCTGCTGTGGACTGTCGCCAGCTGAGAGATCTTTGACACTTATTGGTGTGTAAGTCACAGGTCACTTTGCTCTCACTTGTGTAAATGTTGAAGCCAGTGAAGATTATATTTAGGCTACAGTTGGCAGGAATGCTGTCCTTTCTGTGCACCAGTGTATAAATGATAAAAACTGTGTTACAGACAGACTTCTTTTCAGTCAGTTCAGACAGAATTAAACAATCACAATCAGTGAGTGGACTTACATATAGTTTATGTAATCATCTATGTGGACATACAGACCTGAAAATCATACTCCTATACCAGCTCCTTCACATGTGGTAATATCTGTCCCTTGGACCAAACAAGCAGAGGAAATGTTGTAAAATACCTAAAAAAGTTCATTCCTATGGAGTAATATTGAAGCGGTATTATCCTGTCTTGATCAAACCTTCCGAGAAATGTTAGAAATATTATGTAAGAGACAGAAAGTTGGAAGTGACTGCAGATAAGTGGTGACTTATCTTGTTTACTAGCGTTTGAAGAAAACCAAATTCATCACATGAGTTTCCAGGTTGCAGTACGGACTAGACCAAACGTGTCTTGCAGGACTGTGAAGAGATTTCGTACACTAATAAAAAATAGTAACGCATGTTTTATTACATCAACTCATTACATGCAAAGCCCCATGTTAAGCAGTACAGTGATGTTACATTGAAACCCCTTTGGGCTGTTCTGAGGCACCCTTGTAGTGTTTGTTTTTCTTTCCTCTCCTTCTCCTTCTCCCTCTCCTTCCCTTCTCTCTCTCTCTCTCCTTTAGTTTCTTGGATTGACTCTCCTTTTGTGTTGGATAGCAGGGACGCACAGTGTTGATTTCAGTTGTACAGCAGTTGTTTCATAGCTTGCAGCGTGTTTGTCTATGGTGGCATTCCTCAATTCTATTCAGCACACAAGAGGATCCCCCCGGGCCGGGCATATCCCAGCGTCCTCTGCTCCTCAAACCATCCCAGAGTTGGACCAGGAAAACATCTGATCTCTTACGCAAACACAACACTGAGACATCCACATTTGCACTCAGAAACACACGCACAAATACACAGTGACACACTTATGAAACACACACACACACACCACAAACCACCATCTCTACACTCAATACTTGCTCCTGTATCACATTGCAGTAAATCCAGTTAAGAAGCTCTGTGGGGAGAGAAAATAAGAGATATAGTTACCAGGTCTGGAATGGTTTGACCTAAGCTGTGTCATCATGTACAGATGCCATTGTCTGATGAAGTGTTTGAATATGACAGATCCACAAAGCCTTTTAGCGTGTCAGCAGTAATTTATTACGCTGAAATTTTCCACTTAAGAGATCTGAAACAGGCTTCAGGTCAGTGCTTTTCTTTCACACATTTGTCTTCATGCACAGCAGACAGCATGGAAAGAGACATGACGTTAAAATGCTGCTAAACAGAGAAAAATACCCAGTTTGGAACAAGATCTTAAAGACCTTGTCAGAAAGGCCCATTGCTGTTAAATCCAGTGATACAAACAGGTACAGGAATAAAAGGTAAGTTTTAAAAGACCTGACAGACTGCTTTGTCCACCATGAAACAAAACTACGCTTTCCATAAATCCCCTTAGAAATGAAACAAAGTCGGATGCCTTGACCTTTGCAACTAAAACTAATCCAGCTTGAGCATTCTGGTAATAAGCCGGCAAACCTGCCCTGACAGGACCTA